ATTTCTTATATTCTTAATGATGTTTGCACTCTCTGCATAGAAAATATCAAACTTTGACATTAGATTTTTATACTGATTTTCAATATAGTTTATTCTGAAAAACATAGCAAAGAGCCTGGGAAATATAAATACTGTACAGTATTGCTGTTTTATAAGAGGAGTTTTTCTTGATTATAGCTACTCTGTTACAATAATTTTAAAACCCTAGGTTTAAGGATCACTACCTGAATGTCCAACTTACTAAATTAACATGGGCCGTAGGCCAGCCTGACATAATGATGTTACAGCCCTGTAATTTGTGCTTTCTGCTCCAGCTCTCCGTACCATTCTTAGTAGAATGGTGATTTTACCAGAAAGAGGCAAAGCATAATAATTTCCCATCCCTCTAGCACAGTATGGATTCTTTCCAGTCAACCCTGTCTTGCCCATGCCTGTTGTATCAGTGCCTGAATCACTATGACAGAGCAAGTAGATAAATAGAAAAATACTGTACAGATCACAAATATTTAAGTGTTATATAATCTCAGCCTAGAGCTCCCTCTTTAGGATTTTGGAGAAAAAGAAAACGATCATGGGACTCTGCTGAGTCATAGTCATAACTATTTAATGTAACTTCCTTAAGCAGCTCAAAAGGGACTTTTTGAGAGCTATGTTTGGTCGGGAGCCTTTTATTTTGTGGCTAAAATTATCAGTTGGGAAACCATAAGTACAATGATATGTCAAAACATAACACAATGCCCTTTAAACCAAACAAACCAAAAACATCCTTTCTTGTCACTTTTTTTCTTCAATGTCCCAAAACAAGGATTTCAGTTCAGTCTCCATAAACCCGTGTTCAGCATATTTACTGTCCAGTGCTGTGGTTTCTATTGCACCAGCTTCTATACCTTTAATTGCAATGTGGTATGCAGATAGCAAACATAATTCATTCTCAAACCAGGAAATATACTACGCAGTTTATGTGGCAAAATTGGATGTGCATATTTGTGTGCCAATGCAATGTTTTGAATCCACATCTGTTTACTGAGAGTGGGAGGGATCATTTTTGTTTTTGAAACAACAGTACATGAACCTGGGTGTTGTTGTTTTTGCAGCAGCTTCACAATGGCTCCACATTCCTTCATTTCAGTCCAGTTTTGTCCCAGTAGCCGAACTAGCAGGGCTGCGTGGGGTGGGGTAGGGAGTCTGAAGAAAGACACCAAGCTGGGTGGATAGAAGTCCACTCACCTCAATTGTTAGGCAACAGAAGCAGTGTAGGAAGGCCCATTAGGGCAAATGCCCACCTCAGCCTATCGTTAGCCAGCCCATTCCTGCATCTCAGGCTCTGTCAACCATTAGCTGCTATGCCTTCCATACTACTGTACAGAGGCCATATCTCACCTGCACGCTCATATGGGGGGGGGGCAGAGAGCAGATATGATGAAAGCATCCATGTGATATGGTGCCTTGAAAGCTGGAGTGGATTTAGGAGTTCCTCAGGTCCCCACTTGAGCCAGAAACTCACTGTATAATCTTGGGTGATTCACACCAATGCCTCCCAGCCTGGCTCACCATCAGAGGGTGGTTGTAAAGACAAAATAGGCAGGGGCAAAGAGCTGCATGGTACCTTGTGCTGATTGGACAGATTCCTCCACAAGCAAGATTGACCCCTCTCTCCATTTCCTTCTCCTTCTTCCAGGTTGTGCTCCAGGTCTCCTTAACAGGAAATTGGCACAAAGTCTTTGGCAAGACAGAGAGAAAAGCAGCCAGAATGGCTTCAGTGGCTAAATCCATGTATCAAAAGCAAGCACAGCTACAACCCCAGCAATTTAACACATGCACAAGAGGAAAAAAGTGATAGAATTGGGGCTGGTGGCATGTAAATTGGGTAAAACACAAAACTTTACATTTTATTCACTCTTGAGGGAAAGCACCTGTCTGGTACACCATTCTTCCAATAAATAGTCGATAGCACCTCAATATTTTGTGTCACTTTTGCTCTGTGATTGCCGGTAGGTGCTGGATTTCCTCTTCTCCTCCCTTCAGTTTTTTAACTACGGGTCTTAACCCCAAGGCTAATACCCTCTTTACCTGAGGATTTGATCGTTCATCTTTTGACTTTTTCTAGTTGCCCAAACAAACTTTGTTTCTATGAACAGATCACACCCATTTTTTTGCACTTGCCTTTAGAAAGACCTCAATCCTCCACCTGAGAGCAATCCTGCTGCCAAGAGGCTTTTTTGATATTCAGTAAGGACAACACCTTCTTCATCTCACTAGCTATGACCACCATAGCTGCAACACATTTTTTAAAAGCCTAGCCCTATTGTGATGTCAATGCCTATCCTCCTTTGCAGTTGCACAAGGCCTTGCTTCAAGTTCCTCTGATCAAAGCCTAAAAAGAGGCATGTGTGGCCTCACCTAAGGCAAATGGCAGGCCTGCAAAAATGGAGAGACACTCTTTAGTCTTCAGAGAGTGGAGGTATCGCCACCTTATACCTTTATCACTGTCCTAAATCCACTTTGGCTTTTTGACAGTCCGGCTTAATTAGCCAAAGGCATTACATCCGGCCAATTGTTTTATTTGCTTTAAACCCATGTTTATTGCCACCTTTGCCAGATGAAGAATTCTGGAGAACTTGAAAGCTCACCTTATTAGTAACTTTTCCTTGATCCAGCAAAGCTATTATTTTCTCTTACATTTTTCTTGTATGGATGGATAACACAGCCACCTTTTGCACTTATTTTTTCTTGTATTGATACAAACCCTGCCTGTAAGCAATAAAAGACTAGTGACGGTCCTTTCAGTCAGGGATATGATGGGTAAGATCTAGAACTTACTAGTTTTATGATAGTGAATGCTTGCACAATTACAAAGCTCAATTTTCTTCACTCAGAAATATAAGACAATGACTCTGCAGGTAACCAGTACTGTACTGTCTCACTAGGCCAGTGAGACAGCAAGAAGCAAGTCAACACTGATCAGGAGACTTGCCTGAGTCATAAACAGCTGAGCTAATTTCCCTTTAGGTCATCCACTAGGGCAGATAGAGAGCAGAGAGCAAACAAGGCTTATTTTTCACTTAGAAGCCTCTAGAAGGCTGAGATCATAAGGAGAAAACCAACACAAGACATAACAAAACATTGTTCCTCGCAGAAAAATTTCTGTCCCAGTAACTTGGCAAGAGGTAACTGCTAGTATTGTTACCTCAAGCTGCCATTGCACAGCTTACCTCTAGCAAGCTCTCATTTAATCTTCAGTAGCGTAATTTAATACATGAGAACAAGATGCCAAACTTCACAGCTAAATTCTGGTGGCAGAAGGCCAAACGCTGGCTTCAGTATTACTTTCAAAAACATTATCCAAGTTGGTAATGGCCCAATATTACTTCCATTTGATGCTGATCTTAGAGATGATGCCACTAAGAACATATTAACATCTTATACCCTCATGAAGGTTATGGTCAGGCCTCACCTTCACATCTGGCTTAATCTGTTCTCTTGTTAACAGTTTTCCATCCACCTTCTCAATTGGTATAAATTAAAGCGTAATAATTCTCACCTAAAGCTTTATGTTGAAACAAAATAATCTCATTTTATGGAATATCCCCATTATTTAGGGGCCTCTTTTCAGGAATTTGTAGATGTGTTGGATTTAGTACTCTGTAATCTCACCAATCATATGCCTCCTTTTCATTTGTAACATTTTACACTTCACTTTTCCTTGGTGTTAGTGGTATGGAACACCATTAAGATAGTTAAAAGTGAAATTAAGAAATTCTCTTTTGAGGCTAAAAGAAAGTGGGTGCACAAGAATTCCTGAGAAAACAAATCTGTCTCTCCCGTAGCATACATTTCATGATCTATATAGTAGAGTTTATAGTGAAAGACAAAGCAATGTGAGGGACCTCCAGAGAAATTAGTATGACAGTGAACTTCAGCACTCCATGAGCCAACTCAAAAATGAGGGGGGGGGGAACCTCAAACAAAAATTTGTAGCATCGAAAGTGGACATCAGATAAGCACCAGCTTTGGCACAGATGTAGAAGACAGTCTGCTCTTACTCTGTGCCAAATTTGAGAATGCTGGGGTAAATGGTTTTCTAGGGGTTTTTTAAACTGTTTTATTGCCCGCTCCCTGTAGACAGTGACAACCTTGTGTCTGGAGATTTAAAACAGACCAAACACATTGAAAAGACCAAACTTGTTAATCTTGACAGCGAGTGGTTAATCCCAGTCACTTTTTTATTTGGAAGGAATCCAGACACCCACGGCTCTAATACTGATGTTGAAAGTAGCAATTTCAAAGCAGTGGGGGGATGTCTGAGTTTCTGGGTTTCTTATACACACCATCATTCTAAACATAAACATAAACATTTCACGTTCACTGCCATTCACACTTGTTGAAAAACAGCCCTAACAATTGCTTTGTGTTTGAGGGCGAAGTGGCTAACTGATGAAATAAGGAGTCAACTTTTGGGATTTCCCCTTGTGTGGTGTCACTTTGTGAAAGGGTGTGAGCAGAACAGATCCTTAGATCATCCTTGACTGCTGCCATTGGTGTTGTCAGGCTGACCTTTGCTATTTAAAGCTTGGCATTATTTTTTTTTTCCTGCTGCCAATGTGTACATAATATTATGCAGCAATATTGGACCACTTCCTGGCTTTTTGAATCATGGAAACAGAAGCACAATATCCCACATTCACAAACCCGAGGTTTGTTGAAAAAATGAATTATGTAAAAGAATGGAAGGAGTGGGGGAGTAAAATAAAACAAGCAAAAATGGATGAGCAGGAGGCGAGGCAGAGAAGGGAATTAGGAAGCAGAACCAGAGGCGGTTAGAAGATAGGGAGTCAGGTGATCCATTGTGACTGATATTGGGTACGGTTATTTGGTACAAGCACTGTTTATTATTCTTTATCATGTGACTATTTCTTCTAGATGTTATATTCCATGAATGTATGCTTATTATTTTCACTATTTAGCTTTTCTGATTTGGGTAGATTCTAAAGTTGGCTTACCTCATCCCATGAGCTGACTTTAAGATACAGTTTATAGAGAAGGGAGTTTCCTGCTGCTTGTAATAAGTAAGGAGATGGTGACAGTGCATTGTTTTGGAGGACTTTAAGAAAGTCTGGACTGAGAAGGCCGGCCCAGAGACTTAACCAGTGACATCTAGGAGACAAGGCCAGGCAGTGAACCTTCAAAACATAACAGACAGCCATGTTTTTGGATCTTGCATTTTAACATTATTTTGTGCGCGTGTGCGCGCACACACACACACACACACACACACACACACACACACACACACACACTTCCAAATTGGCATGGAAGCTGTGATCTTTGACTATATGTTGGACTGTTTAAGCTGTCCGTCTTTCTTCTATCTCTAAATTTGGAAATCATGTGAATATTACAAAACGCCAATAGTTCTGGCAAACTTCTTCTATGGGGGAAGAAAACTCAAGTAAGTGGCAGGGTCCTGGAACATCACAAACACTGAAGTGGGGTGAGCATATAATTGCTTCGCATTCTTTAGAACACTCGATGCTGAAATACCAGAAGAAAAACAACTAAAAGGCACATACTTTAAACTGCACATAATTATTTTACTGAAAAAATAATAATACAAGGATCAAACTCTTAAAGAAACAGAACGAAACGACTGTGTGGAGATGAGATTTTAGTGTGGTTTTTTTTTACTTTGGATGAAAAATACAAAATATGACCTGATCATATAGTGTTCAACACCTTGGAGCTAATTTACATGAACAGGATAGGATGCTTCTAACTACTCAGAACTGGGCTGTACAGTATATTACTTGGTCTCAATTGCTGAATGTATCTTTAATTTACATAATCTTCTACTACTCTATGTAACAAAAACTAATGAATAATTATTATTTAATAGTAGTTCTTGATGAATTCAAATGTAGGACACAACTTTTTTTATGGTGGGCCAATTTGATAACCTCTCATTAATAAGCATGCTTTTATTATTTATTAGGCCCAACATTCTTCTCCACTTCCCTTTACTTTAGATATCTGTGTACAGTATTTATGCTACTAAAGCATTGTAAAAGCTGTTACAAAGAAGCATATATTTTAAAAGTAGAAAGGTATATAGTAAAGGTAAAGGTTCCCCTTGACAATTTTTTTTTGTCCAGTCGTGTTCGACTCTAGGGGGCGGGGCTCATCCCCGTTTCCAAGCCATAGAGCCAGCGTTTTGTCTGAAGACAATCTTCCGTGGTCACATGGCCAGTGCGACTTAGACACGGAACGCTGTTACCTTCCCACTGAAGTGGTCCCTATTAATCTACTCGCATTTGCATGCTTTCGAACCGCTAGGTTGGCGGAAGCTGGGACAAGTGACGGGAGCTCACTCCGTCGCGTGGATTCGATCTTATGACTGCTTGGTCTTCTGACCCTGCAGCACAGGCTTCTGCGGTTTAGCCCGCAGCGCCACCACATCCCTAGAAAGGTATATAAAGAAGTATTAATTTGAAAATCATATGCTATAAATTTCTACTCAGAAGTAAGCCACATTGAGTGCCATGGATAATGAACACTCCTATATATGAGGGTACCCCACTGCAACCTTTTGGTACAACTCTATACAGGGTGGGTTAGAGCTGTGTTCACCGGAGCTTATTCCTTAGCCTAGCAAGTGTGTGTGTGTATGTGTGTGGGACTTGCACCTTCAGGGCCTGTAACTGTTAAGCAGGGCAAATAACAAGTAACAGGACAGGAGCACATTCCTTGATTATACCTTTCCGAAAACACCTGAGTAGCCATTGCTAGAATCCGGATGCTAATTTAGATGAATATTTTTAGTTCCCACATTCTGATGGTACCGACTTAGTTTGAGGTAAATTCAGTAGAATAAAAGCCTAAGTTAACATGATACAGAAATAAAAAGAGCTGAGAATAATGGGTTAGTGACAGCAACCTACTGCCTGTATTTCCTTACATTTGACCATGAGGCATGTATTGAACCAACACATTCATTCCTTCCATTTGCTGTTTTTGTGCCATCAAGAGGGAACCGATTTATAGCGACCCTGTTAAGAGCTCTGAGGGTGAGATATTTAAGGGGCGATTTCATTAGTTCCACATCCTACCCTACCCCACCCCGTTGAGTTTCCATGGCCAAGTGGGGATTCGAACCCAGGACTTTTTGAGCTCTGCCCCGTCACTCTACCCACGGCACCGCATCCTCATTCACCAGGACTCTTCCGCTTAAGGTGCCGTGTCAGTTTTGTTCCAGTTCAGCAGAGGGAACTCCTGGCTCTGGGGGCTCCTTGTCTGGGGGCAACCTTTTCCCCTCCCTCCCTCCCTCCCTCCCTCCAGGGGCAGCAGAGGCACAGGCCGCCCGTGTTTCGGGGCGGGGGTGGTGGTGGTGGTGGTGGAGGGGAAACCCTTATTGTCTCTCCCGCCGCCCCGCCCCCCCATTTCAAAAAACCAGGCCCTCCCGGGGTTTTCTT